TATATATATATATATATATATATATATATATATATATATATATATATATATATATATATATATATATATATATATATATATATATATATATATATATATATATATATATATATATATATATATATATATATCTGTGTGTGTGTGTGTGTGCAGCTTAGAGATGTGGTATTATATGGCTCTTACTCTCTTCGCCGGATACCTCAAAGATGCTGAAGTCGCAGTTGATGCCATTTCTATTTGGTTAGTACCTTTACTTTCTTTTTAATTACTCACTCCGTTTCTTAAAACTCTTCCTCTTTCATTTTTTTTGTTTTTCTTAAAACACTTCCCTTTTCTATTAAAAACCACTTTTACCCCTACTTTTTCATACCCTACCTATCACATCATACTTTTTCACTAACAACTAAACCATCACATCTTACTTTTACCCATAACATCAAGGGCAAAATTGGAAAGTCAACTACAATTTAATACTTCCTTATTCTTTCCCAAAGTCAAAAGGGGAATTGTTTTGAGAAACAGAGGTAGTATGTTTTTATTTTTAAACTTTATCCTAAATAATTATGACTCATTCACTCATTTCATTTTAAGAGTAGCAATATATATATACAGTAAGTACAATGTTTCTCTTCATTTTAAAGGCATTCTAACCTGTTTATAACAGATCATCTTTTATAATTGTTTGTCTTTTTTAAAGGCATTATAACCGGTCCGATTTATAAAAAAAAGACACCGGTTAGAATGCCTTTAAAATGACTTTTATTTATAATTGTCTGTCTTTTTTATTTTCCATCATCTTCGATGTAGCCAAAATTTCACTATTTTTTGGCTTTGGGTGTGATGGAAATTAATGAAACTTTCGACGTTGAGCCGGGAGTCTCTTTGGAAACAGACTCTCTACTTTCGACTAGGGGTAAGGTCTGCGTATACACACCCTCCTTAGACTCTACTCTTGTGGAATTTAACTGGATTGTTGTTGTTGTTGTTGTCTGTCGTTTTTAAAGGCATTCTAACCGGTTGCTCGTAACTTTTATTTATAAAACCAAACAATATAATTGTCTGTCTTTTTTTTATTTATTTACGAGTACTTTTATTCCTTTGTAATTAATGATGAATTAGTACCCAAACTAGTACACCCACATGGTGACTGCGATCTAGAAATGTGATCCCCAATAATTTCATTCTGATTCAAATATTCAATGAATATGGGTGAGACTTGAGACGTGCAATAAATAAGGGTTAATTATATTCATTTTTTTCAATTCAACTATTCAATGATTGAAAGTTATTACGGAGCTTAATTAATAGCATACTGTTAATATAGTGTTATTGTTAAAACATATAGGTGTAAATTGTAAACTGGCCAATAGCACAAAGTCCCTAAAATTTTAAGATTCCATATTTTTAAGTTGGACATTTATTTTAAAGCATAAGTATTTTAAAAAATAAAATAGGGTCCAAAACGTAAATTTTGGATCGGACCAATTTTATATTTTCATTTTTTGGGGCCGGCCCTGTTAAGAAAGCACATGTACTGTCTAAATTTTTAAATACGCGTAAACCCTACCAATAAGCTCGTCATATCTTTATCTTACTAATTATTTATTTTAATATTTTGTTACAATAAAATACTCCGTAGTTAATTCGTCTCTTTTTATATATATAAACTTTGATATTATATATTTTATTAATTTCAGCATGAATATCTTAGGGTGGACCATCATGGTGGGTTTTGGATTCAATGCAGCAATAAGGTTTGTAACTACGCCCCTAATTATTCTTACCTAAATGCCCAAATATTTGTTTAAAATATTCAAATGTTTTCGCACTCCGGTAATTTTGTCTATTCGTTTAGTTTGATTTTGTTCAATTATATCCAAATTTTTTTTTATCATTAACTAAAAAAAATTACAATACATTTGAAAATTTAGAGATGATTTAGTTAAAGTGTTAAACTAAATTTGAAAAAACTTTTTTACAATTCTTTTGTATTAATGTACTACATGCTCGTAACTTTTATTTAAGTGGTGATCAATGTTCCTTTAGTTTGATACGGAGTACGAAAAATCAATTTGTCACATGAAGCTTTACTTTGAAACAACATTTTCAATTAGCACTAAGGTTTTGAATACTTTTTAATTATGGAGTAATATTGTAAATTATTTTTTAAAAGTAATGTTAATTATAAACATTATTGTCATTATATGTTTTTCAAAACTAGACATTGAAAATATAATACTCTCTCCATCCCATAATTATCTTTCCTTCTTTCCTATTTGTGTTGTCCTAAAATTTGTTCTCTTTCCGTATAAGGAAACAAATATGTAGTCCATAAGAATTTTCTTTTTTCTACACAAATCACAATCACTTATATTCTAATTTATTAAAAAATGTGCCAAGCAAGTCAAACCCGAAAGATAACTCCAGGACCAGGACGGGGAGAGTACTTTAGATTGATCGGAACTAATGAAATTATGAAGGACAATGAATTAATGGCAGTGTTAGAGTATCAAACGAGCTAGGAGCAGGGCGGCCGAGAACGGCGAGATTCTCGGTGGTGGTGGCCTCAATGACGTCACTAGCATTCGGCGTCCTCATGGCCACCATTCTCATGCTACTAAGAAGCCAATACCCGCCACTCTTCTCTGGAAGTCCCGCTGTGCAACGACTCGTCTACGACCTCACACCGCTCCTCGCTCTCAGCATTGCCATTAACAGCCTTCAGCCCACCCTCTCAGGGGTGGCCATCGGAGCTGGATGGCAAGCTTACGTCGCGTACGTGAACATTGCGTGCTACTATATTCTTGGCATTCCCATTGGCCTCGTTTTGGGTTTCGTATTCGACCTCAATGTCACGGTATGTTACTCACATGTATATGGTACGGTACTCAGTCTGTTTGGAAAAACAGTTTAACTTTCATTTTTTGCGCATCTCACCGAATATTTTCACCCCGCCTAAAATGCACCACATTTATTCTTTATTGCATGCAAAAGTCATTTTGGGGGGTATTTTTGATCTTTAGGTGGTGCAGGAGTGTTTATACGATGTGCAAAAAATGAAAGTGAAATTGTTTTTTCAAACGTATGGAGTATGATATTGTTTGTTTTGAATCAACACCTAGCTACATTGATTGGTGCATATACTTCAGGGAATTTGGTACGGAATGGTAACGGGAACAACCGTTCAAACGTGTGTGTTGATATGGATGATACTAAGAACAAATTGGAACAAGGAGGTATGTGTACGTCTATATATATATTTGTGGATAAAAAATTATTCCATTTGTCCTAGTGACTTTTCATGTGAAATTGGATAAATTTTTATTCTCGAAAAAAATCAAATTATACAAATATTCTAAGACGGAAGTAGCTAGTAAATATATGTACAGGGTAATAATGTATATATGTGCAGGCTTCAGCAGCGGGAGCTAGAATCAAACGATGGGGAGGCGGAAGTGACTCAAATGAGACCAAATTGAATACTTAAGTGATGATATGATGATCACAAGCTTTGATTGTTTGCCCATGGATTTTTCTACGCTCCATCTCTTGTATGGAGTGTCTTTATTTTCGGGATTTTTCTTTGGGTACCTTTTTATTTCTAGGGGTCATAAATGTCATACCATCTAAAAAGTGACTTGAGGATTTTAATAATAATTGTTAGACAATAATATTAAGTATTCTTATTATGTTTGATGTTGTATTTTAGTTAGTTTTTTTCTATTTCTGGTTGTGTTAGCAGTTATATATATATATATATATATATATATATATATATATATATATATATATATAGACACACACACACACATACGGGCTGGTTCCTGTGAGAATGATGTTTGATGAAAGAAATAAAAATAGAGGATATCCATTGATCTATTAAATTTATTTATGTTAGATGTTGTATTTTAGTTAGTTTTTTTCTATTTCTGGTTGTGTTAGCAGTTTCTTATATATATATATATATATATATATATATATATATATATATATATATATATATATATATATATATAGACACACACACACACAAACACACACACACACATACACATACGAGCTAGTTCCTGTGAGAATGATGTTTGATGAAAGAAATAAATATAGAGGATATCCGTTGATCTATTAAATCTAATGGCTCTCATTGATGCAAAAAAAAGTAATTGCGATTGGGTGCATTTAATGTGGCGTGCCACCACTTCATTGATAAATGTTATAGAAAAGGGCAAGTTAGGAAAACAAATTGCCACATCAATACATCATCCACATATTTAGGCCAATACTCCGTATTATTTTTTTTAAATAAAGTGGTCATATCATCTCAATTAAATTGATTAATTATAAAGCCACAATATCATGGTGTTTCCAAAATTAATTGATTCCATAAATATCTCATTTTTTTCGACTTTATCTCGATGAGATGCACTGTGATATCCATAATTAAATGTGTAAGGCGAATGCACAGTGAGTGAAGTTATATGCACTATGATTTGTTCTTTAGATTTTATTCTAATTTTATTATATTAATTTATGAATTAATGAATAATGACTTCAGAGTGACATTGTATGTGATGACAAAGACTAAAAATGCATTGTATTAAGAATATTTGCAATACATATTTGAAAAAGATTTTGCCTATGCGGGATTCGAACTCATATCTGTAGTTCATACTGCTCTACCATTTGAGCTAATAGGCAACAATTTATTTTTTCAAAGACTCTCATCTTTCATTTGGATCTTTTAAATATGCATTTTAATTTTTTAAAATTGGCAACGTTCAATGTGTTTCTAATCCACATTCAAATTTATCACAAAGTATTTAAAATACATCATCGTTCGTTTAGTGAAAATTCACTATCTAGGTAATCCATATTCAAATGTATCATAAAGTATTTTATATGCATCATCATTTGGAGAAAATTCACTTCCTAGAATATAAAGCATCATTTTTTTGTGAGGAGAATTTCACCATCAATGCATGAACTTTGGTTCTTAGAATATACACTAACAGAATGCATGATTATTTACCTTAATGTAGAGGATGAATTATCTTCAAATGTAAATGCATTATCTTGATTTTGATAATGCACTACATATGCAAATTAAAAAGCATACCGGAAAACTGAAATAATTGTGCTTCTAATATCCAAAAAAATTGCTATTGTATACTAACACCATTCTAAACTACTCGTAGTTTTTTGTTCAAGTAGTAAAGCAAGAACTCATACTCCCTCCGTCCCCTTTTAGATTACAATATTCCCTTTTAGACAAAATTAAGGAAGAGTCAAATCCGTATTTTTTTCCCCAAATTACCCTCCAAATAGTATAGAAATGGGTGGGTGGGTGAGATTTGACATTGAAATGATAAAGGGGAGGGAGGGTAAAAGAGTACATTTAGTTTTAAAGTAAACACTTTGTAATCCTTTTTGGGACAAAAATAAGAGGGAATATTGTAATCTAATTGGGGACGGAAGGAGTAATACAAATGCACCACGATAGTTGTGTGTGCATATATTTTAAGTATTTTCTAAATGCCTTATGAATTAATTTAGGTTGGTGGATCCAACTAGTACTGAAATTCAAAAGAACACTACAGAGGAGTGAAAATGCATTGTTTTGAGTAGCAATATGCAGTGTTCTAAAAAGATATTGATCAGTAAGTTTACAATTGCAAATCTGCAACAAATATGGGGTATGGGTAATGGTAGAATTTAAATTAGTCTGCTTGAAAAACAAATATAGAACCGAAGAATTTTGAATGTAAACCAAAGACAGGAAAATGTAATTAAAGAAACAAAAAAACATGCCAATAACAAGTAGAATTTCATTTGCAACTACATGTTATATTACCATCTTGTGCAGAGTGCAGAATAGTGAATGTCAAATTATACTTAATTAGTTTAAAAAAACATGAACACAAGACCACATATAAAAACTTCTTTAAAATATTCATACTGCATCTTAGACTGTGATTGTGTCATAACAAAGCTATCATATTGCATTTCAAGAGTACATCTTTAGAAGTGAAAAATATTCATATTAAATTTTAATATAAGCTCTTTAAATGTGAAAAACATTCATAATTCATTTTAATAAAACCTCTTTAAAAGTGTAAATGAATCGTGCTTCACAACCTTTTGAATAATACCTCACACGGTCATGCTGCATCTTGGACTATAGATGCATCATATTAGGATCATATTTTAAGAACAGGACAACTTGTCAATTTCGTGTGGCGCTAGTCGTTCCTCTAACTTGGCTCCGTCGCGGCGTTGGTGGGTTTCACCGCTGAAGCCGCTCATGAGATCTGACAGTAACCCCGTCTTCTCCGGCAGCCTTTTGCTCTACCCTAGCCAAAAGGTCAGCGTTGGATAAAGAATGTTTGAGCGAGAAATTTGGAGTTTGGGACATAATTTTAGGAAAGACATTACTCCTCAATAAATGTAGAGTTTGAGAGAGACCGATGAAATCTCAAAGCCCTATTATACCCTTGCACGCATGATTAGACTACAAAGCTCACCAAACTGTAAGGCAAACATCACCATATTTTTTTGGGGGATTAGTTTAATCCTCATAAATATATATATATATATATATATATATATATATATATATATATATATATATATATATATATATATATATATATATATATATATATATATTGAAGAATTGTATTTTCATTGATTAATTATGTGAGGAGTACATGTATATATATATATACAACATCTCAATCCTAGTTATGGTAGGAGAGGTATTCTAGGGAAGCTATACAAGTATGGAAACAAATCATAATACAATAATATTAAATATATTTAATATATTTAACATGCTCCCGGCTACGTCGGATGTGCACCCCCAGCCTATGGGTCCGAAAGAGACTTCAGGTCTTTATTCTCTCTCCCGTCAGGAAAACACTTCTATAGCCGCTTGACTCTCCTACTTCCTTGTACCTCCTGAAACTAGACCGGTTCGCGGTGAAATAGCGCATGTTTCACATACAGTTGGAGCTGCACGAACCACGCGACTACAACGTGGCCTAAACTACTATCTTAGACAGCACTAACATTGTCACAAAAGACGAGTGTGGCGCGACGGAGTGGTTGTTGCAGCTCAAGAAGAAGATTCCGGATCGAGCAGGTCTCTGCAACAGCATTGGCAACGACTCGATATTCTGCCTCGGCGCTAGAACGAGAGGTTGTGGCCTGGCGTTTGGAAGACCAGGAGACGAGGTTGTCGCCTAGAAAGACATAGTAACCGGATGTGGAGCGTCTGGTGTCGGGGCAACCAGCCCAATCAGCATCGGAGTAAGCCTCTAAATAATCGGTGGCGGATCGTGTCAGATGGATCCCGTGGGTGGCAGTGCCACTAAGATAGCGAAGAACTCGCTTCATGGCAGTAAGATGTGAATCGCGTGGTGCATGGAGGTGTAGACAGAGCTTCTGAACTGCATATGTGATATCAGGACGAGTGAAGGTGAGGTACTCCAGTGCACCGACAATGGACCTGTAAAAGGACAGGTCGGAGAGCGCCGAACCCGCGGTGCTAGATAGTTTTACCTTCGTGTCTACTAGGGTAGATATGGGGCGGCAAGAGACCATCCCTGCCCGCTCAAGGATATCATGAGTAAACTGAGTCAGGTGGAGGAAGAGTCCGGTGGCTGTGCGCTGGACATTGATCCCAAGGAAAAAATGTAGGTCGCCCATGTCTGTCATAGAGAATTCAGCCTTGAGCTGCTGAATGAGACTCTGAAGCAGTGCCGGGGAGGATGCTGTGAGTACAGTGTCATCAACATATAGGAGCAGGTATGCCGTCCCAATAGGCTGAGAGAAGGTGAATAGGGAAGTGTCGGCCTTGCATCCTCGGAAGCCAATAGTCTGTATGAAACCTGCAAACCTGTGAAACCAAGAGCGTGGGGCCTGTTTAAGACCATAAAGAGCCTTCTTGAGTTTGCAAACATAATGAGGGCGAGTGGGATCCTGAAACCCAGAAGGCTGGCTGGCATAAACGGTCTCCTGTAGCTGACCATGGAGGAACACATTTTTGACATCAAGTTGGTGAATGGGCCATCCACGAGACAGAGCAAGGCTGAGGACGATATGAACAGTGGCAGGCTTGACAACGGGGCTGAAGGTCTCGTCATAATCAATGCCAAAACGTTGGTTGAAACCGCGGACCACCCAACGGGCCTTGTACCTGGATAACTCACCTGAGGGGCCAAATTTGTGTCTAAAAAGCCATTTACCGGTGATAAGGTTTTGGGAGGGGGAGGGGGTACTAATTCCTATGTGTCATTCTTTATCAAGGCATTAAATTCATCACACATAGCAGCATGCCAGTTTGGATCTTTTAGTGCACTACGGTAGGTTGGGGGTAAAGGAGAGATGGGGACAAAAGTGTTAAGGTTGAGAATTTGTTTGGGGCAGAAGACACCGGCTTTGGAGCGGGTTTGCATGTGGTGGTT